ATAAGCCGATAATATTATAGTAAAATATTCCTCTTGTCACGGGTCTCGAGCGCACTTTCACCGACGACGGCGGCAGCGGCGATCAGTGTCCACCACCTCCCTCGATCCAAATAAATTAAACAATATAAACCTAAGTACCTAACCCACTCAAGCTTACGCAACCATAATCATAAATGTAACGTTATGCATCGTGTAACACTGTGCACTTTACACGCGCGTATAAATAATAATTGTTTGCCATGATATTATTATAACAATAATAATTATGATAATAATAGTAAGACGGTAGGTAATATTATAATTGCAACGTAGTTAAATGTCGGAATACTCATGGAATATATTTGTATGTATTTTTACGCCAGAATTATGCAGACTGAGGTTGAGGGGCGATATTATTTGTTTGGCGATGATGGACATTGAGTAAAAAAGAGACGGAACACAAACATATTTAATTAGGATTTTAAATGCGAATGGAAGTAATTAGTTGAATTCAAAATTAAAAGGTGGATGTGTGTGGTGTGGACGGGACACAGGAACTCGGAAAAAACACAGATAAAAGAAATAGCGGCTAGATTTCATTAGTGAAATATAAGAAGAAAATCATAGTATGCTGATTGATAAGGATGCGTGAATGATGAGTAGAACAATGAGTATCTGACCTTTTGGTGTGGCATAAAATCGGAGGATAGGAAGAAAAAGAAGAACACTTCGAAGAACTTTCGAGGACTATTGCTCGATTCGCCGCTATTGATAAACTTAAGCAAATCTCAAAAGAGACGAAAAATAGTAATGAATTATTCTACTGTTTTTAGAACCGGTTAAAATTCGATTTAACTATTTGAATTTATTATTATGATTTTGTTTTAAAATCAAATGATTTAAGTACATACATTTTCAGTTATTTTATGCCATTCCTTATTCCGAAATACAACCCTCCCCCCTTCGGTTTCACTGTGTATTACAATTAATAAACGGTGTATCAAAGTACCCAGTACCGGAGTAGACCGATTTCAATTTAGACAATTGGTCATGCATCCACACGCTAAAATAATGTAAAATTATACTGTTGTTCAACAGTTAAACATTATAGGTGTAGTTATAGTTAATGGTTTTCGAAAATATTATTTCAAAGTAAATATGATCCGTGCGCTGAAGCACATCTGCTACATTATATCCTGTATCTTAAATAATATTATATAATGTCATATCATTAGATAGAAAGTAACGTTCAATATCGTAAAATACTCTCATTCTGTGAAAAGTGATTCCCAAAATATGGTGAGTTGTTTGCATAATGAACAGTCACCATAGGTATGATTTGGGAGAATAGGTGTAACTACTTCTCAGATATTTTTTTTGAGAGGGCAATAATGATTGCCCTCTCAAAAAAAATATGTAATGTCTTTCCCCCTATAAGTAAAAATAGCACAATTAATACCATAATATTATTCTTTTATCGTCCATCATGATAAATCCATAGTAAATAATATATTTATCTATCCATAATAAATAATAATAATATCAGCAGTTTCGTTAAACAATGTTCGTGGTAATGAGGATTGCGGAAACAACATTTGTCTTATCACCGTGCCACCGCTGTCCATAACCAAAATGATATTAATTAAATGTCGATTACTGGCTACAATAAAATCGGTTTAATTCTTATAATATCATGAATTATATTTTTTTTAATCATTTATATGATTTTATTTCGAATAATTACAATTTTTAAACTTTAAATTTTCATCTGATTGGGGGCGGTAATAGTCGATAAAAGTCCTTCTTTTTCATACCTAATGGACGGTTAGTTTCACCACAGCCCATTCCCCAAGAAATCACCCAAATTATCAGTTAATATTCGATAGTAGTATTTAAAATCTCGAGCGTAAAACGCCCACCGCGATTAATACATCTTTGGCTCCGGTTAAAATGGGCTTAGGATATTTGTTGGAGTTTCATTGTGTGACTGAATATAATTTTGTCTAACGCAATTTGTGTCCCTTTAATTTTTGATACAAATTACAAAAGTGTTTAATGTACTGCGAAAATTTAATTTGCTCTCAGAAAAACTATAGCCAATCGACTTACATTCATCTTCTCCGGGGCTTAAGATATATAGGCATAATACCGTTCTATGATAATGATTCAAATTCAGACTTATAGCTTAAAAAATAAAATACCCAGGTATTATATACCTATGTTTCATTATAGTTCTTTATACCATTAAATGTTTACGTAATAAGCGTACAAAGCAATTTATTTTTTTTTTTTTTTTTTTTGTTTCATCCGCGTTTAAAGGTATTCTAAACTGTTTTCGTAATAATAATAATATTCGCCGTAAAGCGATCTTTGTTCCGGCTGGCCGCGCAAATTCGTATACTCCCGCGCGCACTTATAATTGGTCTCACAACAGTTTTCCAGGGCTTAAACCGCAAGAATATTAACTAATAAACATTTATTATTTAATGAACTCAGTCGACGACCGACAATAACGATAAAAAAAATAAAAAAATGATAATCGCCATGCATTATTCATCGGGTCACTTCGGCGGATCACTTATATAGGTATATAAGTAGATACATACAGGGTGATCAACGTAACGCAAGACGCTCATTGTTTGGGAAGTATTTATTTTTTTTTTTTTTTATTTCATAATTTGTTTTTTATAACATTAAAGAAATACGTAGCTCTAAAAGGATATTTTTTTGTCACATTTATTTTAAACGATGAAACCGCTACCCACTAACGATTTTCAAATTCCAACCTATACTAATAAATCCATAAACAATATTAGTATAAATACGTTTTTCGATTGAAATTTTTCATTTCCGTCAACCCGTCGACCAGACATTGTGCATTTAAGTTTAATTAGGGGAATAGTAGAATCATTTGTCTGGTAGCTCTGTGCCCATAGTTTTAATTAAGTTTTTCGTCCGCACTGACTCGCTGACAACGGGTTAACGAAAACTTAAATTAATACTCCATATTTTCATGGAATTTTAGATTCTAAATTTTGTTTATTTTTTTTATTTTTTAATCTGTAAACAACTTTTCTACCAGCAATTTTACTCCGATTTACAATATTAACACTTTTTATAAAAGTAAATATGACTGAAGAGGTACTTTAAAGAGGTTATTTTTTGATTTCATCAGGATTTTCCCGATTATAAGGAAAAACCAGGAAAAGCCATGGGAAAACAAGGAAAAAACCTAGGAAATGCGGAAAAATAGATATAAAATTAAACGAACAAATATTATTGAAAAAAATGTTTAATGCATTATGTAAATATGTAATTATTTTACCATAATATGATAAATATATTGTTGAAAAAGCAATACAGTCAACCAAACTCCACTCAGAATCGAGTTTTTGTTAACAATGGTGAAATCGTTGCGTACATATGTACATTAAATTCTCGTCTGTATCCTGCCATCCCAACTTCCCACCTACAATAGTGACTACACCAGTCCCCATTTTCCTAGGATACCTTTTTACTACGGGTTGAAAATCCAACGTGAGCAGTGGTTTCACCCCTAAAAATAAGGACGACCGAAAATAACCGTAATGTAACGTTTTAGAGTTATTTTTTTCCGAAATTCCGAAAAAAGTTAACGCTTTCCGAAATAATAATGAATTTCTTACATTATTTATTTATCACTCTGTATAATATTATAATATACGCTATGCGTTTAAATAATTATTATTATACAATTTTTTTTTTTTTGGTTTGTTTTTTTTTTACAGTGCACCGGTTAAACGCGAAAATATTATTACATCGTCTTCAGCTGTAGAGCCGGGGCGACGTATAATACGATATAATGGCCTCGATTAAACCGAGCTAGATGTTCTTATATATAGCATCGTCGGCAAATTGCGAAACCCCGACCGACCGACGATGTTTATAATACGTTTTCGGATTGTGAATGAAAAACGTGAACCCTAATGTCTAAATGCCTCTCGAAAACGTATGATTATGGCGCGGGCCGGTTATATATTTTCATTATTATTTTTATTTTTTTTTTATATATATTTTTTTTAATAATATACAAAACGAACTACGCTATATAATATTATTGTATTATTGTGTACTGGACGCTGAGGGGCGAAAAAAAAAACTCAAAACATAATTGTATTTCTCGTATTTACCATTACTATCACTATTATTATTATTATTGTATATTACACGGTTCGGAATCATCATTGATAGCAATTTACTCTATATATCGTTCCGAGTAAACGCCCGAGGCCGTAATAATATTAGATTATACGTAGCGCGTAAGTGTAGACGCATTCGCGAGTTGAATGGGTGAGTTATGTTGTGTGTGTGCGTCTATAATTTTGTCAATGAAAAGCCAAAGTGGTACCTACCTAACGTACCTTTTTTTTTACCCCAATAAATAATAATAGTAGAAAAAAAAACGTTTTAATTCAAAGCCGCAGGTATAAAATACAGGTATTTATTTTGTTTTTATTCGGCGGAATTATAAAACGACTTCGTCGCTTGCATCACGTGTCTTGTACATTTCAGGTACGTCAGGGCTCGACTCCAATCGCAGTCGATGCCGAGTATAATATTAGGTATACTTTGCTACAAATACGATAAACGGATATTCATTAGACGGTTTTACATTACAAGTACGTACTTCGTTTTTTTTATACTCTCGATATAATATGATAATATTGCCTACCCCTATGACGAAAATTTCACACGAAATACGAGAGCGCACACCTCGCACCACGAATAATATGCATACCTAAATATTATTATGTATACGGTTTCCGCTCACGTGATGCGGTCCATTATTGTACCTGTTAATCGACATTATGATGAAATTCAATGTACTTTATATGCTAGTAAAGTTAGTCCAGATATATGTTATAGAAACACTTGCTAAAGTCAAACTTTAAAGTAGTCGAAAGTGGATTCAACATCAACAAAATAATGTTTGAGACATGAAGACTTAGACAAGGGTATATTAGAAAAAAATAATTAAAAGAATGGACATTAGAAGACTCAACAGAGAAGTGATACTCAAAGAGTCTTCAATAAAAATTTTGACGTATGCGGACGATTTTGTTCCTATGGAAGAATTGCCAAATGCATTGGGTTTACTATTCAACCGATTACAAATAATGGCATCGAAGGAAGGATTACAGACGAATAAAAGCAAAACGAAATACATAGTATTGGGAAAACAGAAAACTGCTGACATTTATATGTACCTCTAAAAGTAAAAAACTATAGTTTCGAAAAAATTAAGCAGTTTGAAATACTTATCTGAAAAAAAAAATAAACAGAAAATTAAATATCAGCCAGGATAGGTACTTTCAGGCATGTGTGTGTTACTTGAATATGTTAGGATCTAGTATCTAGACTCCAGATTAATATCAAGGGATTTTCAGACAAACTGATACTTCATTTTTACATTCGGTTATCGCATATGTAATGAAAATACAGTCATTGCAAAACGTAGATAAAAAAAATTAATAGTCTATGAGAGCAAAATCCTGAGGAGGATTTATGTCCAATAAAGAGGGTACCGATTCCATTGCGTGGAGAATATGAACAATATAATGGATAAATATGGTGAAAAAAAATATAGAAGTTTTGGGTTGAGGTTTAGATTAGAAGGACCAAGCATCGTACAGAGTTGGATGGAGAAATGGATATTTGACGAGATGGTCCTAGCGGCCGTTTAACCCAAGAAGAAAAGTTAGGTTTTTTAAATAATATTTCGCTTTTATATTATATTATCCAACGTGTATTTGTTTTTGTTTTTGTTATGCGTACTTTGTTGCTTCAGTCATCGCTGGGCGTATGACAATACAAATCCATGATTAGTTAAGTTTTAAAAAGAATGAAGAATTTTAATATGAAATTTAAAAGTGTTTTTTTTTCGTCAATTTTGATAGTCAACAAAAAAAAATAGACATTTTTCTAGTTTTTTCGTATAAATAAGCATTTAACGGGCTCACGAAACTTTTTAAAGGTCTGAAATACAATTTTTTTAGCCTTTTTTGATTAAAATTTCAAGTTGATTAGGAATCCGTTTTGCAAACACTTAATCCTTCTGGGAATTGCATTTCGTGCGCAGAGCTACAAAAATCCATGCGTATACGTACCGTTTACGTATTTCTCGTTAACGCAGGTAAATATTACACATATTATATTATACTATACACGCGCGATGGTTAAGTTATTTAGTCGATGTATTAAAAAAAAAAAAAAGTGCATACGAAATTGTTATAAGTACATGGACAATCTTAATAAATTATTACTAAAACGACATGTTTTTAATTTACTGACAGATGTTTGGAAACGGCACGAATATCTTCGTATTTTTACAACACGCGCGCGTCCACGATAAACGTTATACACGTTACAATAATAATATTATTACTATGCCCGGACAAAGTAATATAATTATTTTAACGTATACATAATAATATTATAGTGTCCGAAAACGACATATTATAATAAATTGTCGATTAATAACGCGAAGAAACGACCACGTCTGCCTGCATGTATAAAACACTTAACAAAAATAATATAGAAATTAGAAACTAAAACTGGACTACGATTAATAACTATTAAAAATGCGCACAGGACGACCAACATAATATGTATCGGACACTCGCTACGTCGGACGGCATTGACTTTATTCGGAATTATCGTTTTTGTTTGGAACATTTAAGAAAAAATTTAGCGGCGGTTTATAATAAAGTGTATTTCAATACAGATACAAATACATCCATTCAAAAAGTATTTCAAACACTTGAAATAGTTTTAAGAAAAAATATAAATACTCCACGTACATATTTTCTAACATTTTTCAAATACTTTTTTAATTTGACTTTATAGTTCATTCAAGTGGGTATACGAAATTAATTTTGAAATTTCCAAACATAAAATTCAATGTTCAAATATTTAAGTACCTGTTATTGGAATTTTGTACCACCTAGGTACTTCATTTAAAACTGAAAAATAAAAATAAATAAAATGTCCTGTGTATTAATTCTGAAACAATTGAACACTTTCTTTGAATGAACTAAATAAGTTTTATGAAATAGGAATTATTATACATTTATCGTACCATATAATTATTCCCAAAATGTTGAGTTGCACTTAAGCAGCATGATTTTAGGTGTTATTATGAATAAGTTTGTTGTAAGCCATGGCGGTTTAATTTCTATCTCATTTATATTAATTTATTACTTTAAATTTTAAATAACAACATGGCATTTTAAATTTTTGGATTAAGTATAGTATTTACATGAAAGTATTTGAAATTCAAATACAAATACGTCCGAGACAGTATTTAAAATATGTACTTTCCAAATACTTAATTCAAAAAGTAATTAAATCGTTTTCTTAATACTATAAAAGTTTACAAGGCTGAACTCTACATATTAAGCCGTTATACTGCGTTAATTATTTCAACGAGTGAAACCACTACCGACTTTTGGTTTTTGCGACTTCCAACGAAAATGACATAAATTGATGAAGTTGTTGTTTAAATAGATTTTAGTGCTGACATTTTCAATATTTGGCAGCCAGTTTACCGAAAAATTCCGCTATCGAGTTTGTCGTTTGATGCAGGGTAGGTCGAAGAGAGGTTAGTGGTGCCGTCATTTATGTGGTGTTTACGGAAATTTCAAAAAATTTCAACACCCACATATATTTAAACTAAAACTTCATCTGTTTATGGAATTTTAAATTTGTTTAGAATGTGCAAATCGAAAGCGAGTAGTAGTTTTACGTTCAACTTAACGATAATTTAATATTTTAGAGCTGCTTGAATCTTAGATTGTATACAGAAAAAAAATGCTAAAAAAAAAAGTAATATTTTCAGAAAAACATAATACAAACACATAAACAACACGAAAAAACGTCGAAAGTCTGCTTTAACAAATTTTACAGGACAAACAAAAAACTGGAGGCGGACTTAAAATAAATTTACCGAAAAAAAAAAAACGCGTATTATTTCGACTCATACACGACCCGCTTAAATACACGAATTTCAATCAAAATCATACACGTCCGCCACGAGTTGTAATAAACGAGTACTACACGACCGAAAAATCGAACGGAATAATTTAACTAATATTTTATTTGCCTCGTATTATACAGTGTACGATACAAATTACAAAATATTCGTATACCTAATAATTACGCAATTAAAATTAAATCGAAAAAAAAAGTACGGGATTCCGATTGATTTATATACATGCGCCGCGGCTTGAAATAGATAACTTTGTATTGTATTGGTATAAGTTTTTTTATTATTATTATTATTATTATTAAAATCGATAGACTCTTTAATATATTATGATCAATGTAATGTATACCGAGTTCGTGAGCATAATTATGCCACGACTAATAATAACGGAATATAGACACAAAAACAATAATAACTGAAGGCGGATAGCGCAATAATTCGTTATCGGAGTGGACCGCGTTACACGCGTTCAGGGGCGAGCGCGGGGCGACACTCGCGGCCTTTAATGCTGAAACTCCCAAAGATCATACTTGAAGCTATAATGTATGTATTTTCCGAGCACGGCAAGGTTTCGATCGATTTTCTAAAATGTCAAGACGGTTCGTTTTTACCCTAATATACGTATACCTATATAATGTATTAATAATAAATCAAAAACCATTAAAAATTATGTCGAACCCCGACTCATATACACAGTGATTTTTTTTTAGTATGAATCAGCAATTGTCTCGGAAGATTTTATGTGAATTTAATTTTTTTTTTTTTAATCATTGTAAAATCGTTTAGGCTTTATTTCAAAACCAATTTTAATTAGTTACGCTCATTCCGTATACCTATTAAATAAGTACAATATCATTGTGTTTTTCAAATAGGAATACCCCTTTTTGAACACAGATTAGAACAGAAAATATTTATTTAGACATTTTGGTATGAGCTATAACCGTTTAAAGTTTAGACCGGGGTATTAGGGAAGTGTTAACAATTTATCCTTTTATATATGCAATTTATTATTCTCCCCTACTTCTTCAGTCTAAGCTTTAAACGGTTATAACCCATAAATGGTATTATTTAATGGTACTTATTTAAGATATAAGATATTTTATATAGAGCAAGGGTTAAAAATTAAAATTAGTTTTTAAATTAACAGATTTCACTAATGATTACAAAAAAAAAAAAAAAACAAAAACAAAAATCAAAATCACTTAAAATCCTCCGAGAAAATTGGTGTTTCGTGATAAAAAAAAATCACCCTGTATTATTATTATATTAGATAGAGATAACGCCTGTCTAGGAACAGTAGACAAATAATAGATAAACCGCGTATTATACAAAGGTATGATGCAAAGGTATGTGCGCGAAAGCTTATCAGCTTTAACGTAACTTTCTCAATAAGTTCGTAAGAAATTTATATAATACTCTTTGAGATTATACATATTTATTGTTCAAAATAAAAATAATAAAAGATACGGGCACACTTTGCACGATGGGTGAGCCACTGATGTTGGTCGAACGATTGGAGTTTGGTTAATATTGTTGCTTTGTCAACAATATATATATTATGGTGAATAATGACATATGCATTAAATATATATTTTTTTAATAATATTTGTTTAATATTATGGGTACGTATTTCAGCTTTTTCTCGGCTTTTCCCGTTTATTGGGAAAACTCCTGGGACAATCAAAAAAATAATATCCTTAAAGTACCACCGCAGTCAGATTTCCTTTCAAAAAAATGTGCTATAATTGAAAATAGAAGTAAAATTCCTGGTAGAAAAGTTGTTCACAGATAAAAAATAAAATGAACATCATTGTTAAACCAATACATTCCTCGCTCCGCTCAAAATCTAAAATAAATTGTAAATAAATTCACAAAATAATGGTGATAAAATTGATAAATAACGTAAATAACACGGTTAATCGCGGTACAAAATATTAAATAATTCAAATTTTGATTTTCAGCTATCAATTTTTATTTCAGTCATTACCAAAGAGTATTATAAAATTGCATATAACCTCATTGAAACAGTCAATCTGTCTCTATCGCACGTATTATATTAAACTTCAATATATTTCGCCGATGCGCGGTCTATACATTGTAATACGTCTGTCGTCTATGCCATAGAAACGCAGGTATAGATTTTAACTATTATAGCGGATGTAGTGATGAGTCGGAACGATTACCTATATGCTGGTAACCGTGGTGCATCGATTGGACGAATACCTAAAC